GCAGGCGAAACGTCAGGAGAAATGCCTCTAGAACATGGCCATATAGCCCGAAAAAACCCACAAGAACTAAGCAAAATACTACTACCCAAGCAACAACTTTTTCTTATATTTCATAATATTTTTTTCACTTATGTCTTTGTGAACTCTTCCCTTTTTCTTGTTGTTTTCTTTGTCTTTTGGCTGCTCTTTAGGAATTTACTAAAGAAATTGCTGAAAAATATTCCTTGATGTCATCAGTGCTGAGCACCGGCAATCAGCTCTTGCTTCTCAAGGAATCAGATGCTGCGGTGCTGCGGTCGTCTTTGACAGAGTATGAACAGAAGTGGGCTGATCTGACTTCCCAGTTGCCAGGCATCCAAGAGAAGTTTCACCAGGTAAAAAAAGAAAATCAAGAGCCCAGTATTCAGCGCTGCTATATTGTGCAGCTCAATCATGCTTGTATTCAGCGGCTTCCTAGCTATAATCTTGCCTACGCAAGATCTTTCAGTATTAAATGCTACTGTTATTGCAGCTTTCTTATGAATCAAAGATGACAAGAATTTGCATAAAACTAAAAGATATAATCCTGCAAACAAGTAAATGTGCTGAAGTCCCATTGATTTCATATTCTGGGATGTGCCTGACAAGTTCTTCAGCAGTCTTCACAGTCCTTCAAGTGTGATTTGTTGTAGTAGTTGTGTCCCTAATGTAAATCATTTTCCTTGCTCCCATTTCAGCTCATGCACTTGTAAAATCTATGCTTCTTTTAAAATTGTGAATGTTAAGGAATACTGTCCAAGAACATGAGTAGGGAATTTAAAAGGCTGTGCCTCCATGGCGGACAGAGAGAGAGAGATGTGCCACTTCACAGAAAAACAAGGGAACAATAAATGCTCTCTTGTCCAAACAAGCAGATGGGCAACATGTACTGACTGCATTTGGCCCCTTCTTCCTCCATTGTTTCTGCAATTCCCACTGCACTGTCTCATAGTGAAATCACAGCTTTTTAACACAAAAACAAGATATGTAATGGTCACATTCCATTTAAAAAGAAAGCCTCCAGGAAGCCTAATCCTCCTGAAAAGCAAGGTGCACTCCATCCACACATCTTGCTCCTGCAAGAAAGCATGGGTGCATACACCAAACTGTTATCTTGAATGGATAACATAAAAGCATAAAGAAGAAGCATCATTCATGAATAATTAAATCCATAAAAATCAAACCTTCAGGTATGAGTGTTAGAATGATTCCATAATTATTTTCCAGCTCCAGATGGCAAAGTTGCCATCCCATGAGGCCATCACAGAATTGACTGCCTGGATGAACCACATTGACCAACAAAAAAGCAACAAGGCTACTATTGATTTGCAGAGTTCTGCGGCCCAAGTGAAAGGCCTACTTAAAGAATACAAGGTAAGACACTACAGGAACAACTTTTCTAGAAGCTAATACTATAGCAAGTAGAAATACAATAATCTGCATGAGGAATCACAATGAAGAAGCTTTCCCATCAGTGACCAGAATTGCTATTTGTTTTACATTGGAGCACTAAGAAAATATTATTCAGCTCCTGAGGAAACAGTAGCTATTCTTCTTGACGTTGTTGTTGTTATTTGAAACACAACAAGATTAGTACACAGCAAACAAGATTACTATGCTAGCTTTTGTATTTGATCACATTCGGACACTTCCCAAGTGTCTAAGGCTTTGTGATGTTTTGGTGAATAATGCATGCAGATTTGAGTATGGTGGCCTTTTTGCAGCTGACAGATTATAATTTTGTCAGTGCCAATTGTTTTTAAGTGCAGGCCAAGGACTTTAGGCACTGCACCCAGTGTGCCGATCACCACTGGGACCACTTTGACTGGCTTATGCCAGAGTCTTTGAACTTCGATCTTTAAATCCTCACATTGTGCAAGCTTTTCCAATTATTATTATTATTATTATTTGAAACACAACAAACAAATACAGCAAACAAGGTCACTCTGCTGGCTATTGTATTGAATCACACGTTGGACACTTCCTAAGTGTCTAGGACTGTGTGATATATCGGTGAATAATATGCGCAGATCCCAGTAGGGTGGCCTTTTGCAGCTGACAGATGGTAATTTTATCAGCGCTGATTGTGTTTAAGTGCAGGCCAAGGTCTTTAGGTACTGCACCCAGTGTGCTGATCACCACTGGGACCACCTTTACTGGCTTGTGCCAGAGTCTTTGCAGAATAATAATAATAATAATAATAATAATAATAATAATAATAATAATAATAATTTATATCCTGCTTTTTCTCTCTAAAAAAGAGACTCAAAACAGCTTACAGTAAAACCAATACAATACAATTTAAAACTTAATTATACAAACATTAGAATATAATTAAACATAGCAGTATTAAAAATGAACAGTTAAACTGTTTTATCACAAATAAGGAACAGCATACTCACTTTCGCATTGGGTGGTTATACCAGTGTTACTGTACACTCATAACATAATGCACAGTGTGTCTTTTTTAACTAGACTGGTAATTTAACAAGCTGGGAAGTGCAATAACCTTCAAGTCCAACATATGCTGTAACTATTAGCAAAGCACTGGGCCATGCAGTCACTGAAATTATAGGTTTTAGTTTTTCTCTAATACCTTTCCGAGTGCCAGGAAAAATGTGTTTTCCACAGGTAAATATAATGTTCAAAGACTGATGTTGTGTTTACTTTTTCAGGAATACCTGTTAGAAATGAATTTCAAACAGTGGGTAGTGGATTACGTCAACCAGTCACTACTACAGATGACGACTTGTGATGTTGAAAGCAAGCGCTACGAGAGGACAGCATTCGCAGAGCGTCTAGGGGAAATGAATTTGCAGTGGCACAATCTGCAAGGGGCTCTTAACGAAAAGGTCTGGTCATCATTTCCTAATTGGTTCTGTCATAAAAACATGGAAAAGGTTTATTGAACTGCAAAAACTTTGTTTTTGTGGGACATCCTGCAATACATTTTGCTCTAGTTTTTCAATGAATATCTCATTGAGTCTCAACCAATTCAACCAATGGCAGCCAGAAAAATGAAGTTTCTGGAGTATAACAACTACTTTCAAAGTATGAACTGCACACTTAAACAGGAAATAATGCTTCCAAACCAGGAACAGAAAAAATTTAAATTCTGTTACATAGTTCAAGCAGACCCTTACTGTTTTTCACAACTGAAAACAGATTGAAAACACCGAGTCCACCAAGACACTACTTTTTTACAGAGTGTACCACTTACTCTACATTCTGAATTTGGCAACAATAAATCTGATACAACAGAGTGAATTATTTTGGGAATTGTTAATCCGCTGGCTTCCTGAATTTAAATTGGAAGTTGGGAGATCTGCAAATTAGGAATCTTCAACGTGCAGCATAGATGTATCATTATCACACTGACTCTGGTTTCTGGGGGACCTTTCACACTACAGGATTATAGCTATATGATTATATTTTAACTTCTGTTTCTAAATTCTGTTCAATCTTGGAACTTTTAGAGTAGTTTGTGGAACGTGAAAACTTCATGGCTGAGAAGTATAATTGCCCCTCCCTAAACTGCAAATCCCTCGTTTCCATAGGATGTTGCCAAAACAGTTAAAATGGACTTATAGCACTATATTTGTGCAGTGTGATAGATCCCACACATTTTTAGGTACCAAAGTTCAGGAATAATATTGACAAACTGGTATAAAACCAGAATAGAGTAACCACAATGATCAAAGATCTGGAAATTAATTCTATGTGAAATAATTTAGCACCTGTGTATGCGTGTTTAGCTTAGAGAAAAAAAGAATGAGAAGAACATTATAGCCATATTTAGATATCTGGAGAAATGTCATGTAGACGATGGAGTGAGCTTGTTTTTTGATGATAGGTACCATCATAGGGACCTATGCTTGCTCTGTATTTTTCCCTCTCAAAAAGAAGTTTTGAAATGGCATATTGTCATATTGAAATGTGTGGATGAGTGCCCTCTGTCAGCTCCAGCTTCTCATACGGGGACATGAGAGAAGCCTCCCATAAGGATGGTAAAACATCAAAACATCCAGGCATCCCCTGGGTAACGTCCTTGCAGACAGCCAGTTCTCTCACACCAGAAGCGACTTGCAGTTTCTCAAGTCACTCCAGATAATAATGCTGAACTATTCATATTGCAGATAAAGGAATTGGAACACATTTTGGAATGTGTTACTGAAAATGAAAGCAAAGCCCAATCTTTGGGCAGCTGGCTAGAAGCACAAAGCAGACAGCTCAACGAAGCAGTGAAACCAGCAAGTTCTCTCTTTGCACGGGATACATCAGAAGTCTGCAAGGTAAGCAGTTGGTATGTGATTGGGATTTAAATTTCAGGTGAATTGATTACTTTGCTTGCTAATAAATAATTGAATAAATTGGAATTTTATTAATGTTTTAATCAATTTTCTTAGTTATTAGTTTATTAATTATTTAATTTTATTGTATGATGTACAATGAGAATAATGTACAATGAGGAGAATGTGTACAAGGTGGAACAACTTTGAAATGTGGTGCTGGAGAAGACTTCTCTGGATACCATGCACTGCTACAGAGGGAAATGAGCAGATCTTAGAGCAAATCAAGCATGGATTCTCCTTCAAAACAAAGATGACTAAACTGAGTAGGGCAGTTAAGGGCCAAAGCTCTTGGAGGTCCATCATTTACAGGATCAGCATAAGCTGAAGCTGACTTGCGATTTTCCAGCTGCTTGGCAAAGGTTGAACTGGACGACCCACGAGGTCTCTTCCAACTATATGATTCTATATTTATTTATTTACGACATTTATATGCCACCCTTCTCACCCTGAAGGGGACTCAGAGCAGCTTACAAGTAAAAAGAAAATACAATATATTATATTATTACCATAGCACAATATTAAAATTATATATTGCACTAGCTGTCCCCTGCCACGTGTTGCTGTAGCCCACATGGGCGTTCTGTGTGGGAGGTTTGGCCCAATTCTATTGTTGGTGGGGTTCAGGTGAACTATAAATCCCAGGAACTACAACTCCCAAATGTCAAGATTCTATTTCCCCCAAACTCCACCAGTGTTCACATTTGGGCATATTGAGTATTCTTTGGTCTAGATCCATGATTGTTTGAGTCCACAGTCATCTTTGGATGTAGGTGAACTACAACTCCAAAACCAAAGGACACTGCCCACCAAACCCTTCCAGTGTTTTCTGTTGGTCATGGGAGAACTGTGTGTCAAGTTTGGTTCAATTCCATAGTTGTTGGGGTTCAGAATGTTCTTTCATTGTAGGTGAACTATAAATCCCAGCAACTACAACTCCCAAATGACAAAATCTATTTTTTTTTTTTGAGTGAAGGACATGCATTGGGTTGTTAGATGTCTTGTCTCCAAATTTGGTGTCAATTCGTCCAGTAGTTTTGGAGTTCTGTTAAGCCCACCAATGAACATTACATTTTTATTTATATAGATTGTACTATAACATTATACTGTAATATTATTAATAATATTACGTTTAATATAAAATATATAATTATAATATCATATTATTATTATTATTAGTAGTAGTAGTATAAATGAATATCTTGTAAATTATCCACAGAGAAGAACATTCATTCCTTTCCCTCTCCTGGTCCCTTTTTCCAGGTAGTAGAAAACGAGCTTGCAGCTAAGTCGAAGGATGTGGACCACTTGAAACAAATGTATGCACTTGTAGAACACAATACCGAAGCTTCTGAGAAGCCTGCGTTAGATATCAATCATTTGGCTGAACTGAGGGCTAATGTAGCCAATCAGGTAAATACTTTGGTTTTGGATAATCGTTAAAAGCTAAGGATTATTTCTGAGTATGATCTTTCTGATTCCTGTGCAATAGTTATTGACTGAACCAGTAGATGATTGCCAGGTTAGGATTTGATATTCTGGCTCAGCATAGTCAGTTGCTGAATGTGAAATTGCCAGATGAACACTAATACGTGTATCTTTAGTACTGTGATGGATTTGCTCATTTTGAATTTTCTCCCAAACTCCAAAAATGTCCTTGAGTGGAGGAAAAGGAGAAACTCAGCAATTTCTTTCTAATGGTGACTAGCGTACTACGTTTCTAAGACAGTCTAAGTAGGTAATAGAAGCTACATGGCCTTTCAGATATCTGGATTGTTGTAGGTTTTTTCGGGATATATGGCCATGTTCTAGAGGCATTCTCTCCTGACGTTTCACCTGCATCTATGGCAAGCATCCTTGCCATAGATGCAGGCGAAACGTCAGGAGAGAATGCCTCTAGAACATGGCCATATAACCTGAAAAACACCCTACAACAACCCAGTGATTCTGGCCATGAATGCCTTCAACAATACTTTCAGATATCGTTGGCTTTCTTCCCCCATCATCTGTTATCATTGACTGTGCTGGCTAGGGCTTACGGTCGTAGCAATCCCTACAACATCTGGAGACACAAAATTGTTGAGTGAGTGGGCTTATTAACAAAAGACCCTCCCCATAAATGCACAGCAGAGTAACTTATTAGCAGCAACATGACCCAGCACCAGTAGCCAAAAATGATAAAAAGAACAAAAACACACAGACCAATGTTATCTCTTCCATAGGAGGCTTTTCTTTGTAGCAAAATAATGTGGTTGCACTATTTACAAAATTAAGGTTTCCATAACACAAAGCTTTTATACTTCCTTCTTTGTTTCTTTGCTCCCTGAGCTTCTTTCTCATGCAGAGAAACAGCTTCCAGCTTTGCTCTCACAGAGCCTATTCTCATACCGAACTGTCACAGGAGCTTCACACAACAACAACAACAACAACAACAACACTTTATTTATATAGCGCTCTATCTTCCCGAGGGGACACAGAGCAGTTTCCAAGTAACATCATCAATATAACAGAGTAAACAACATAACATAACATTAACAAAACAACATAAGCATAAAGTTATCACAATTTTTTTTTGTCGTTTCAGGAGCAACTTGAGAAACTGCAAGTTGCTTCTGGTGTGAGAGAATTAGCCGTCTGCAAGGACATTGCCCAGGAGACGCCCGGATGATTTGATGTTTTTATCATCCTTGTAGGAGGCTTCTCTCATGTCCCCACATGAGGAGCTGGAGCTGATAGAGGGAGCTCATCCGCCTCTCCCCGGATTTGAACCTGCAACCTTTCGGTCTTCAGTCCTGCCGGCACAGGGGTTTAACCCACTGCGCCACCGGGGGCTCCAATTATCACAATAACACGTATATATTAAAAAGAATCCTGCCTGTTCAGAGCAATTAAAAGGCCAGGTCGAGGCTAGTGCAAACTCAAAATATGAGGAATGTCATGCAGCCGATGGAGTGAGCTTGTTTTTGATGATGGGTACCATCATAGGGACCTATGCTTGCTCTGTATTTTTCCCTCTTAAAAAGAATTTTTGAAATGACATTTTGTCATATTGATATTGTGTGAATGAGCTTCCTTTGTCAGCTCCGGCTCCCCATACGGGAACATGGGAGACGTCTCCCAAAGGATGGTAAAACATCAACACATCCAGGCGTCCCCTGGATGACATCCTTGCAGACGGCCAATTCTCTCACACCAGAAGCGACTTGCAGTTTCTCAAGTCACTCCTGACATGAAAAAACAACAACATATTATTCCAATAATACTGAACTACTCATGTTGCAGATAAAGAAATTGGAACACATTTTGGAATCTGTTACTGAAATTGAAAGCAAAGCCCAATCATAAATATAAAATTAACAAAGCAATATAAACATAAAAAATCACAATAGCACATATATATTTAAAATAATCCTGCCTGTTCAGGCAATTTTAAAAGGCCGGACTGAGGCAAGTGCAATTTCTAGAGGGCCTGGGAAATTAGATGCAATGCTATAGCAGGCTACAACAACAATAGGTATAGTCTATGGCTGTTCATTTCCGGGACCTAATAGGATGAAGTGACCTGGGTAATTGGGAGAAAAAGATATGGTCCTATTCAACAATATCTGGGGCTGAGCTAGAACTAGTTGTTCTCAAAGGCTTGTTTAAACCTCCAGGTCTTCAAGCTCTTATGGAAGGAGGGGAGGGATGGGGACTGTTATATTTTTCTAGGAAGGGTGTAGATTCACACACAGCGGCCTTCATGTTGGAACTTCACACACGAGGTCTCCAACCTGGGGCTTCTCTCACCAGACCTTCTCAGACTGAGGCTGACTAAGCTATAAGCACACCTGCATATATTGATGTGCAGCTTTTGCTGAGGCATTGCACACATTTTAACCCTTTTAGTGCTTGAATCACATTTTTGTAATTAAAAACACCTAGTTAATTTTTAATATTTCTGACAAAAATGTCTTATTTCCCAGCAGGGTGGTCCCAATGGTCAGGAATCCAAGGTTGATGCAAACAAAGGCACAGGAAGCAAGTTGAGAAAGTAGGCATCATACTCAGAAAGCAAAGAGGAAGTCAGAGAAAGAGGGACTTGGCAGCCTTGCATTTCTATTAGGAGAGGAAAGCAGGGTATAAATATAACAGCAGCAACAACAACAACAAAATGATTATAATAGCAAGTCAGGTAAAGCAGGAGAAAGGAATTGACAGCCAAGTTCAGCCTTTGAAAGTAGTCTAGGTCAAATAACAACTAGGCAAGGATAGTCTGAAGGCCATACCAAAGGTGGGGACCAACAGATTGGTCACATAAAGAATCAAATATAGTCACATATAAAATTAGCTCTCAAGGTCTAGAACACCATATGATAAATACTGTATTGTCGAAGACTTTCATGGCCAGAATCACTGGGTTGTAGGTTTTTCGGGCTGTACGTCCAACTTCTAGAACATGACCATACAGCCTGAAAAACCTATTTATTTATGTATTTATTTATTTACAGTATTTATATTCCACCCTTCTCACCTTGCAGGGGACTCAGGGCGGTTTACAATGTCCATATACATGGCAAACATTCAATGCCATAGACACACAACGTATATCCAAACACAGAGGCAATTTAACATTCTAGCTTTTCTTGAGGGTATTTTGGCCACCAGGGGAGCTGTCCCTTCACCAACCATTTGTGACACTGATGAAGTACTTCCTCATTCTTTGCATGCTTGCTGGAGATTTTTATGGCCTCGTAAATTAGTTAAATTTGCTTCCCCACATAAGCGGTACCTAAATTTCCTACTTGACAGATGCAACTGACTTTCGGGCTGCAAAGGTCAACCGCAAGCTACACAAATTGGTTGGACGCTCACTCCAACCCAGGCTGACTTCGAACTCATGACCTTTCGGTCAGTAGTGATCTTAATGCAGCTGACTCCCAGCCAGCTGTGCCACAGTCCCAGTGCAAAACCTACAACAACCCATGATAAATATTATTTCCAGCAGTCCCACAAGCTAGATATTGAGACTTTTGTCATTACAGTAGGCTCCACTAGGAGCTCAGATCCATAATCTCACCCAACAGGGAGAATACTTTTCAAAATACTCGTCCTTCCATATAATGAGAAAATGAGCAAAGATTTAAAATTCTAGGATTGCACAGCGAAACTCTAGCCGTCACTATGGAGCCCGTTTGTCTGTATCTAAGCTATACTGAATCTGAAATGTCAACAGAAATCCAAAACAATTTCATAGCAATTTTCAGCTTTCATGTAACTAGAGCTCACAGCTGAGCTGTCTGTTCCTTTTGCAAATTAAAGCTCTTCAGGAGCCGCTGAATCTGTGAGCGTTCCTGCTGGGATGTCAGCAGCAAGGCAATAAAACCACCTATTTATTCCTGTAAGTCCTCCTGAAACCAGGCTTCCCAGAATGGCAGTGCCTTGGCCTCGAATTGAGTTGATAATGAGAATAATTTTGAGGCTTCACTCTCATACATAATTCTACATGAGCTTCCCCTCCCCGCTTTTGGTGTCTGGTTTGAAGTATGTATCATTACCTCTGAAAATAGTTATATATCAATTTGTTAAATAGCTACAGACATTTTGCGGGGTGGAGACAATGTGTATTAGAATGGAAGCACTGGAAAGAAATGTTAACAGCAGGTACCCCATGGTTTTTAACAGCTGGCGTCCCATTACCAGGTTTCAAGTGTAATTGCATCAGTGTACTTTGTAAACCAGAAATGGCAGTTCTGCTTCCAAGTCTGGCCTCTGTGTTTTTGCAGCTTGTGCAGTTGAAGACCTCGACACAATCTGCTCTGGAGAACTGGAGAATATATGACGAAGTCTGGAGAGAAGTCAGGCAGATGCTTGCAAGAGCTTTGTATTACAGTGAGCATAGCAAGCCTTCTGTGATTACCTTTGACACTGTAAAGAACCAAGTAGCAGATCTCCAGGTAAGACCTGCTCAGAAAGACAAAGGAATACTTTAGACATAAGACATAAAACAAAAAAGGAGAGTCTTCAAGGTCTCTGCTCCAAGGCTGCAGAAGTGGTTTTCCAGAGTGGTTAGGTTGTCCCTCTGCCTGTTTTCTTTCTGCTGATAGAGACCTTCAGGACAAGGGAGAGGCCTTCTCGGTGGTGGCCCTCCAGCTCTGGAATTCTCTCCCCAGAGAGGTTAGGCTGGCTTGCACCCTGTCCATCTTTTGCAAAGAGTTAAAAACGTGGATGTTCCATTGTGCTTTTGATTGGTTGGCTCCCCAGAAATTCCAGCTCCCAGTTATGACCCAAAACTCAATCCCTGCACTTTACTACTGTCCCCTGCCCAGAAGTCTTAGTGTTCTGTCTCATATTGCCCTTGTGCTGTCGCACGCTGGGCCTGAAATAATATCTGTTTACAGGACGTTCTCTGTATGCCCAACGGGACGCCGGGGTGCCTCAGCTGAAGGGCCCTTTAGATTTCCCAACACAAAGTTCTATTGAGGCTCAAGATAAGTTCAACAAAGTTCTTTATTTGGGCTTAAATCTTCAAACAAATGAATTAAACACTTTATAACCTTGGAAAACCGGTAGCTTCCTCAATCTGCCAACAAGGGGCAGGCAACTGGTGGTAAACTGTTCCTTTCTTAGGGAAATCTTCTAACCCCTCCCTGGGCAATCTTTCTTTTCCTTGCTGGCGTGAGGCCCCTACTCCTGGCTCCAAGCTACTTTATGGATAGCCCGAGTGGTCCCTTACCAGACAAGGTTGCTGTAGATCTGCCAAGCTGAAAGGTGTCCTTTAGTTTCTCCACGAAGGCTGTAGGAACTATTTCTTTAACCCCAGCAAAAGCTGGCTGTATTCCCCCAGCAAAAGCTGAGGAAATTCCTTTACTCCCCCAGCAGAGCTGTGAGAAGTGAAGCTTTTGTGCAGGTGGGAAAGAGAATCTCACAGTGAACAGTGAGACTGATCAAAGGTTCTCCTTTGCCTCCAAAGCCCTGGGAAAAGGAGCGGGTCTAAAGATTCTAATGATGATTGCCAAGTTGTTGGCCCTATGATTGCAACCTGAGGGAAGCTACCTTATTGCAAAATGCATGGCTTAAATAGATTCATGCAAACTAGCAGTGCAAGAAAAGAAATTCAAATCTCCTGTCATTGCCATGCCAGCACAGCCCTTATCCCCAATTTTGTCATCTGGCACTTGCACTTTATCATCCCTGCCCTCATTTGATTTGTAACCCACTCCCCCCCCCCACCCCCAAAAAGTGCCTAGAACTGTTTTGCTATTTCAGGTACTGGTTGTCTGTGTGATGGTTTTTGCACTGTGTTGTGCTGTTGTTTGTTTTATTTTGTTTTTACTGCTGTTTTAATGAATTTTAATGTGTTATATTTTAACTATGTTTGCTTGGGCATGTCCCCATCTAAGCCATCCCAAGTCGCTTTGTGGTACAAAATAAAGTAGTAGTAGTAGTAGTAGTAATTGTTGTTGTTGTTGTTACTATTATTATTATTATTATTATTGGACTAGATAATTGCAAAGGACTAGAGTATTGTCACATGCACCTAAGGCAGGCATGGGCAACCTTTAGCCCTCCAGGTGTTTTGGACTTGAACTCCCACAACTCCTAACAGCCCACTGGCTCTTAGGAATTGTGGGAGTTCAAGTGCAAAACACCTGGAGGGCCCAAGTTTTCCCATGCCTGACCTAAGCAATACTTCCCTATGCCTGCTAGAGGCTGCCATCTGTGTTTTTAATTATATTGTCTTTACGAATCGTGCTGTAAGCTGTCTTGAACAGATAAAGAGATAAGGATAGCGTTCTCTCTCTCTCTCTCTCTCTCTCTATATATATATATATATATATATATATATATATATATACGCTTTCAGGTTATAACAAACTCTGTGGCAATTCTTTCCAGGGTCTCCAAGATAAAACAGAAAATAATGAAGAAATCTGGGCTAGGCTCCAAGCTGCTGTGGCTAACCTTAAGAAGCTGTGTGATCCCTTGTTTTTACAGCTTATTGAACATAAAAACCAAAAGGCACGGACAAGGTATAATGAATACATGTTTAGTTTTTTAAAAAAATAGAGCAAGTGAGGATTTTGCAATGTTCCAGATATTTAGGGATTGTAACTCTCATTACTTCTTACCTTTTGCTGTGGTTTTTTTGGGGGTGTTTGGATTTGCAGTCCATCAGTATGTGGAAGGTCATATCAATGCTGTGTCTATGGTTTGGTAAGTCAGACATCTGTTATGTTAAGGCTCAGCCATCTAAATAAGAGAGAAAGAGAATAGCGGGTTGTAGGTTTTTTCGGGCTATATGGCCATGTTCTAGAGGCATTCTCTCCTGACATTTCACCTGCATCTATGGCAAGCATCCTCAGAGGTAGTGAGGTCTGTTGGAACTAGGAAAATGGGTTTATATATCTGTGGAAAGACCAGAGAATAGTCTTGCCATTGTTGTCCATATTCTCTGGCATGTGCCCATGCCCACCTGCGAGATGCGAAGAAAATCAAGATTGGAAACTCTGGCAACCACATCTGGGTGTCTTACTTTTCAAGCAGCTTTCACCCATTGTTGCCCTCCAGATGTGTTATGCTGCTCTCTGTATCAGTTCTAGCCAGTGAACATCCAGGTCCAGAGTGATAGGTTTAGTAGTCCAATACATATGGTAGGATTCCAGGTTGAGGAAGGTTGGCTTACTGTTTCACTTAAATAAAGATGAATTGACTCAGTCAAAGAAGTTCAACCATGAGATTGCTGTTGGTCACCAGGGTTCCTAAAGGTTTCTCATTCATAAGGTTGTTATAGGTCAAAGTTGTCTTCACTCCAAATAACACCAGTCTTCATCAACAATGGAGCAATGTGTCCAAAGGAGATATTTAAAGTTCTCTTCCTTTGTGGCCTGCAAAATTGGTTGATACAGCCATTGTCAGGCATTGCATATGTGTGATGAATACTTTACTTTGTGGTCAGGAGCTTGTTATGACCTCTGTTTTTTGCTGTTAAGACTATGGTTATTGCTGCATGTATTCATGTCATTTCCAACTTTTAGTGCCTTATGGGACTAAGAAAGTATAACCCACCCAATATCATTAAATGGTTGTCGTGTCTGAGTAGGGAATTAAACCCCAGTCTCCAGATTGTCATCCAACACTCAAGCCCTTATGACTCTCCAATCCACTATATATTTTCTTGGAAACTAATCATTGAGCTCAGAGGCTTGCTTCTGAGTAGGCTTGTGTAGGATTAAATGGTCGTACAGGTAAAACCAAACAGTAAATAAATAGCAACACTCAAAAAGCAGTGAAATTCCAGACAAGAATCAATCAGGGTCAGGTAACACCTCCCAACAAAGGATTCCCCCAGGCTGCAACCAGCCAGGCACTGAAGTTGCAAGGCCATTAAATACTCATCAAGGTGTCCAGTTGCAACATTCAGCAGGCAAGAGTTCTTTCTCACACCCTGCACATTCCACACACATATAAACCTCACTTGCCTAGTTTCCAACAGACCCCTCAACTTCTGAGGAAACGTCAGGAGAGAAGGCTTCTGGAACGTGGCCATACAGCCCGGAAAACTCACAGCAACCCAATAAAACCAAACAATTTGTGATATTTAAAATAATTTTACTGAACACATTTCTCTGTTTTTTTCTAGAATGAACCACTGGAGAATTTTAAAATTATTATTGTAATGATATTAAGGAAAAGGAAAAGATGATTTTACTTTTTGATTTCTAATTTTGATAGATGGGCATTGATAAACAAGGAAATTGAAGATCAACTGCAGAAAGCACAAACTTATTTACCCCTTTGGAAGTCGTATGTAGATTTGTATGCTGAAGTGTCTGCCAAACTGGACAAACATGAAGAACAGTGCAATTCCCTTTGGGCGGTAAACATACCTGCAGGCTGTACAAGAGACTTCCTCAACGAGAAATCACAGGATGTGAAGGTAGGTCCATGGCATTGTAACAAGATCTGGTTGATAATAAGCAGGAAGGATAATGGAAAGGAAAGATAGAAGACCCACTCAACCTCTTTTTAGTTCATTTAAAAACCCACCTCTCACCAAACTCCAAATCTCAGGATTCCATAGCATTTGGTCATGGGAGATGACGTGTCAAACCATACTAATTCTACAGTGTTGGTCAGTGGTTCTCAACCTGTGGATCCCCAGATGTTTCAGCCTTCAACTCCCAGAAATCCTAACTGCTGGTAAACTGATTGGGATTTCTGGGAGTTGTAAGACAAAAGACCTGGGGACCCACAGGTTCAGGACCACTGGTTAGATGCCTCCATTTATCCTATTTAATGAGGAAGTAAAATGGCTTTGACCCAGCCACATTGCTAGTGTTGGCTCTTCTGTTAGGTCTGAAGAAAAACAAGGGAAAGTGAGACACACCAATGGTAACTTCTATGTCAATGTGGTGATAAATCTGCTCCTAAGTTAAGCCTGGACATTAATGTCGATATATTGTGTTTTGCGGGAGAGGGCTCCACACCTTGGAAAACACCTTTAAAATGTGAACTAAGACCTGTAGCAAATTCATTTGACCTACAGACATGGATTTCATCAGCACCACATTAAAGATTTTCAGAGTATTTATTTTAGAGTCTGCACTGAAGTTTTTCAGATGGAATATGTTAAGAGTTCTCCTTCCATTTTCTCAAGCAGAAGACTGCAAAATGTGGCCCTAAGTAGTGTACCAACTTCATTTAGGCGTTCCCTCGTAGCCCGAGGATGATGGTCCTCCAAGTCTAGTGTCTTGGTGGTGGGTTCATAGGTGACTGTGGACCCTATTCTTGATCCGCATGTTTTCCTTCAGTGAGGGCATCGGTTTCCAGGTGGAAGGTGGTCCCGGTTAAGGTTGGCTTGACGAGGGGACTTCCGGTTGGCTACCGCTAATGGAGGACGCATCTCTGTGAGCTCCCGAGAGCTGACACAGAGGTGGCTTGGCTTGAGGGTTTTGGGAGCTACAAATGCAACCCAACCTTCACTGAACTGACTGAGGTCGTGAAGGCAAGACCCCAAGGTGTCATCGGCCGACGGCATCTAAGAGATACCCCCCTCAAGGGGGTATCCAAAGACGCCCGGCAAGCGAGACACAAGGGGTGGACGCAAGCCAAAGCAGGGACAGAGGTCCCCTGAAGTTCCTAGGTAACCAACACAAATAACAAGAATCTAATTTCGTGAAAGCACAAAGTCAGAAAGCAGCGGTCCTACAAGAGTCACAGCTGACAAGAAGAAGGAGGAAAGTTGAATGAAAAGGGAAGGAGAGAAGAGAAAAGAGAAAGAGAGAAAGGAAGATCGAGGATCGACACAAAATAAGGTAAAATAACAATTCTGGATTTTACTGAGCATAATAATAGCTAAAACTCTACAGAACTCAACGACAAGGCTTGAATAATAAAGAAGATATTTGAGGGGTAGCTCAAAAGATATTAGAGTCGGGGTTGAAAATCAATGGAGAAATAAACGGAGGAAGGAGGAAGGAGGAAGGAGAAATGGTCGAAAGTTAACAAAGCTAACAAAAGACAACAAACCAAAGAACCCTGACAAGTTCGAACCCAAGAGTACAGCCGGGTAGAGCACAAAGCTCCCTCCCGACGGGACGGCAGAACCCAAACCCCTGGTAGACCGCCATCTGATCCCCTCAAGGATCGATAGTGGGAACTCCGGGGGCAAGAGGTACAGCGGGCTGGAAAAAGGGACAAGATATTCAAAGCAGTTATCTTATTTAAAATATTCATAGCACCTCAAACCGCCGAAAAGATTGGAGAGCACCCCAAAGTCTTCCCAAAGTGCAACCCAGATATAAGGAATAATATAATGACAGCATAAATAACTAGAGTAAAACTACGGAAGGAAGAATCTCGCAAAGCTTTCCCCCCAAGAGCGGGCTGCAACTGACCTTGGACGAAAATCTTCATTGCAAGGTTCGGCTAGAAAACAGGAGACAGCCTTGAAAGGGGGGGGGGAGGAGAAGATAAGGAGAAGGAGATAAGGAAAAGGAGATAAAGCCGCCCAAGAACAAAATGCAAGCCTCGTGACCGCGAGATAAGGGAAAGTAGGGAGAACTCGCGAGAAAAAGTGAGATAAAGCGGGAAGAGGGCCAATAGGAAAAGAAGCCTCCCGCGAGACAAAACGAGAAGAAAGGAGCAAAACAAGAATAATAAGAGGACGCAAGAGGAAGTAAGGACGTAAGGACGGCAGGACGTAACGACGTAAAGACGTAAAGATGAAGGGACGTAAAAGGGAAAGACGGAAAAAGGGGGGTAAGAGGAAGAAAGGTGAGGAAAGGTGAAATAAAATAAAACGACGTAAAACGGAAGAGAAACGTAAGCTAGAAGAGACGTGGAGAATACAGAGACAACAACAGAAAGCAACAAAGGTAGCAAGGGAATAACTGAAGGCAGAAGCAGAAGGTAGGATCATATATCATTCCAACTCCAATTATACTACTCCATCCTAATTCAAACAGCTAATTTATAATATCAATTGGAACCTAATAATTTATATAATATAATAAATAAATAAAAAAGAGGAAGGAAAAGAAAAAAAAAGGAAGAAAGAAGGAAAAAAAGGGGAAGAAGGGACTTTAAATTAAATAATCAACTAAATTGAAAGGGAAATCTATTACAGCTGTTGAAGGGAAGTACTTCATAACAACAAGGCAATAATAAAGAAGATAAATAATAAAAGAAGAAAGTTTAAAGACACAAATCCTCTAAACAAAGCGAGAAGGAAAACATATAAATAAGTACGGATATGGCAGGGCAAAATATAAAGGGGAAAAGCACACCCTTAGCAAAAGCACAAAGCCAAACGAAAAAAGACTCACTGACAGAGGAAACTGCGCTTAATCAAATCTTGGCTGAAATTATTAAGATCTCAACAAAGCAAGACACACAACATAAAGAATTACAAGAGGAAATTAAAAGTTTGAGAGCTGATCTCAAAAATGACATGAACAAATTACAAGAGGACCTGGAAAAAATGAAAAAAGAAAACCAAAAACTAATCAAAGAACAAGGAAAAATGGAAGGAAAAATAAGTAAACTGGAAAATATAAATCAGAAAATACAGCAGCAAACGGAACTAATGGAAAACAGAGAGTTAGAATATCAATTAAGAATCAGAAACTTAGAAGAATCAAAAGAGGAAAACGTAAAACAGATAATGATAGAGTTGCTAGCAGACTTATTGGAAGTCAGCACTGAAATTGTAGGCAACGACGTTGACAGGGTTTATCGAGTGACTACGGGATACTCCAAAAGACACAAGACTGCTAGAGATGTGGTGATATCTTTTTGTCGAAAAAGTACAAGAGATGAAATTCTGAAAGAAAATGCTAAAAAAAATGTATTCTATAAGGAAAAAAAGGTAATAATTATGAAGGAGGTGACCCCGCAAACCCTAACCAAACGAAGAAAATATACCTTCTTGACTGATGAACTTAAAAAAAAGAAAATAAAATTTAAATGGGAAAAAATAGAAGGAATTACAGTCACACTACAAGATACCAAGTACTGGCTAAATACAGAAGAAAAAGCTAAAGCCTTCTACATGGAACATATAAAGGAAAAAAGGTATGAGACACCTCAAAGGAAATTTGACGGTAAAACGATAGGGAAGACTACGAAAAGACAAGAAAGAACAGAGACGAATCAAGACGCCGAAGTGATCCGAGAGGAAAGAGAAGAAGAAGAGGAGGAGGAAGAAGAGGGAGCTTATCCATGTAAAGGTCAAGATGAGAGAGGAAACAAGAGGTTGAGGGAATTCTCCCCCGAAAACTATCAGCTGATACCGCAAGAAATCTTACAATGGGAAATGACAGAAAATAACAATGAGTAAAGACATCAGGATCTATTTCAATAATATTAATGGAATGAATTCGCCCAGTAAACGCAAGAAAGTCTACAACTTTCTAGTCCAAAAAAACCTAGACATAGTCGCCCTGCAAGAAACACACATCGCCAGCAGACATTCGAAATACCTCAATCACAAGAAACTAGGGGAAGAATTTCACTCATCCAATAGCCGGAAAAAAAAAGGGGTAGTTACGTATATAAAAGACTGGTTAAAACCTAAGCAAGTTTTTAAGGATACAGAGGGAAGATTTGTTGGCACAACAATAGAAATAAAGAATCAAAAAATACTAATTTGTAATATTTATTCACCAAATGGTGCAAAAATAAAATTTATAAAAGAACTCAAAAGGGAAATAGACAAACAAAACTGGGATGAGTTAATAATCTTAGGGGATTTTAACGGGGTAATTGACACCAAATTAGATAAATCGGCAACAAAGGAGAAAAAAAATGGAAACAAGGCAAGTTTACTACCTAAGGGATTTACGCAAAAACTAGAAACATTACAATTGGAGGACATTTGGAGATACAGTAAAGGCACCACCAGAGATTATACCTTTTGGTCAGGTAGACACAATACTTGGTCACGAATAGATATGGCATGGGCATCCAAAT